TATGGACCAGTAAGAGATTCCAAAATGACAGACCCTTGTGAAAAAGAAGTACACTTAATTGTAACGAATGTGCCCTTGTAGTGAACTTCAAATCGTAAGAACTATATTTCTTACAATCTGTACTTGCAGATAATATATTCATTTCATAAAAGGCCACAAGTGTATATAAAGATAACTTTCATGACACACAAGTACTCGTAATTATCTATTAATTTTTAATTATCTTTTGTTGTGCTTTAAAGAAGCATGCTTATTTTGATGTGTTGATTAACATTCGAAAGCACATGTAAAGTACTATATAGTAACACACAAGAATGAAACGATAGACGCTGACAGACAGACAGACAGGCTCACAGTCTTACATACATATGAGGCCACAGTGGCCCACTTAAGGCCAGACTGAGAGTTAACACAATTAGACATAGGCTAATGGAATCTAGACAGGCCAGAGATAAATGCGACTTCATTAGTACAAGCCTAGAGAGACTGTCAATGCTAATCGCTGATGAAGAAATGTGGTTTCCTTCTTTTGCTTCCTCTCGTATACTCCTTCACACACTATCTGTCATTCTCGAGCATGTGTTTAAAGTCTGGCCTTGGGATAGGAGGAAAGAACGATGAAGGAAGGAAGGGCAGTGAATGAAAAGAAAGGTAAACGACATCTGTCGTTTGAGGAACGGACATACAGTATGGACAGACATGCTGGTTTTCATAGCTTGTAGCTCTATCAAATATATTTAAAAATCCCTTGAGACAAAAAGTGGGTAGCCATATTGGATTGAGTGCTTTCTGTTTTGAACAATGCCTGGCAGAAAACATGCAATCGACCACTCACATAATGACCTGGTGGGAGACAAAATCTATCACAGAGAAAGCTTTTACTCACACACACACACACAAATAACGCACTTACTAAAGCCCGGTGTGAGTGTGTGTATCTTAGGGGAGGAAAACATTTAAAACTCAGGAAATTGATAGCCATTCCACGGCTCACAGGCCATTTAATGATTGAAAGAGATTTGTGAGAGGTTCAAACCAGAAAATTTGATTCTGGTCTGGCTGGTTGTGGCTGGACATAATTTGATTTCATGCATTCATCCATTGGCTTTGGCCATTTTGAAAGTGCATATCCACTTAGCTATGCATAGCCGTACTGTAGCTATAGCATTGAGGATGGAATTGTTCACTAAAGCCAAAACATCCTACAAATCTAAAAAAAATACTTCTATAGTTTTACATCCATTAGCCACAAAATGGTTAAAAAAGGACTATTTTCCTCAGTAGTTGAGAAATACAATAGGTGTGCTAGCTTCAAAGCTAGCTTATGACTGTATTCCATTACCTGAGTTTTTCTTTCAATCAGTGTATTTTTTGTTTTTTTCAATATACTGTACACTTTCAGCAGTGTACTATATGTCTAAAAAATAAATAGCATTTTAATAGTTTGGACTCTGTTGTTTATTATATTATATTATATATTATATTATTATACAAACGTACAGGGTTCCCAGTATAGTTTACAGCATTAGTTTGGAGTTGTTGTTTTTTCTTAAGAAAAATGTACATGTACTGTGCCTGATGTACATCCAAATGAATCAAAATTGAATCAAATCGTGAAACCTGTGTCAGTTTTCTCAGGCAAATACAGATGAAATTTAGTAATGTATATAATGCTCCACAAAGCCCAAGAAATGGAGATAGTGAAGTAAAGTCTCAAAGCAGAGTTGCGGTAGAAGGCCATTATGGCAGCGTTGTCCCACCCAAGACCTCAGCCAAATGCGCTTAGTCAGTTTCTTATGTAGCTCTGAATCTGAACACAGATTAGCAAGCATCAAAATACAGCTGAACGTCATGAAACTGATGGTTCTGTTCAGATGGTTAAATGACTCTTTTACATAGTAGGCTAATATCTCATTCCCCTGTTTCAGTTTCCGGTTTCATTCACTTTCACTTTCAATTTAACCCATGTTTGCGCGATTGTGTGTATGGGATTGTTTAGATTAGTTGTGTTCGTGATTTAGTTAAATAAATCTTTTGTGCACAGTCATGCGAGTTTCGATTCTGGCCTGCTTGTAAATCAATGTCCCTTTAACGATGTGATCACAGCTGCATGCTAAGAATGAGTTATTTTTCTGTGGCCACACAAAGAAAAGAAAATATCTTTTCCGACATAACGAGTGGTCGCTGGTCGAACAGATGAATTGATTGTAAAATGAATTCAGCTACATCAAGTTAATTCTATTTACTGATCCAAATATTTAATAATATATATTATTCATATTTCCCCTTTGAGTTAATTTACTACACAGTGAATCAAAAATGTATAGCACAACCAGCGACCAGATGAGTTACCAGTTTGATTTGTAAACAAAATGGAATCTGAAATACACTCAAATAAATCAAAATCAAATCAAACTAAAATTGGAATCAAATTGAAATGAGCTTGTGAATCTTAACCAATTGAATAAGGATAAATATACAGCCCTAACTAACCAATGTTCATCTCAACACCATTTGAAGAGGGAAAAAAAAATCTCAATCTAAAATTACCTTACTTGACTGATTATAAAAAACTCTACGCTAGTATACTGCACAAAGAACTTTTTTTTTTTTTTTGTATCAGTTATTACAGTGCACTTTGTGGCCAAATTCAGCTAAATGTCAGCTGTCGAAAGGCTCCTGCAGTCATGCTGAACTGTAGAGAGATTGACAACCATGTTGTTTGGGTCCAAGGGATTGGTTTCTGCTGACTCATTGAGATGTCAAATTGAAATGTGGTCGCCTTGACGATGTAAAAGAGATTCTGTGCATGAGAATATATATCATCGGCAGAGCAAACACACAAGATTGTCCACGTAACACTTTGCACACTTTAATTAGTTTCTCTTCCCCTGCATAGTCTAGCTGTATTGTCGTTTCCTCCCCCTCAACTCCATCCATGACCTTGTGGAGGATATTCACAATCTGAATATTTACAATCTGTCTTCATAAATTGTGTTATGTGTGCATTTGTATTGGGGTTTTGTGGCGCACAGTACCTGCTGCATTAGCTGACAGACAGCAGAGCTAGCTGCAACAGAAACTAATTGATGTTTCTGAGACACACACTGATACAAAAACCATGTTGAGTGTAGCCAACCATGTCCCATTTCAACAAAGCATGTAAGAGGAATCAATCAGCTGGGAGCGATGCCATTACACACATGCAGGAGGGCATTTATGCGCAAGGCACCTCAGCACTACCTCGCAGCAGATGGAACAACTGTTACAGCTAACTTTTTTTGACCTTGTGTATCCTAATTGTTTTTTGCATTTCAGATTCATAACCTCACTCTCATTACCCAACAACCCATCTGTCTTCCATTAAACTGGGAGAGATAGTGATAGAGAGAGAGATTCAGCTATGTATGTGTAGACTGTTGGTCTAAGCATTTTGTGCATGTTTGTGGGTCGTAAGTACATTTTGATGCTTAATGTAACATGCATGAACACTCTTTAACTTCCACGCAGACATCTTTTGTCATACACAACTGCACACATGCTGTATCTTTCCAAAATATGCAAGGACAAATACACACTTTCTACCATAGCCAAACACTGTAACACATCCTGTAATGATTCTTACTACATGACTCTCTTTTGAACACTTGATATCAATTGACCATATCAAATATCAATATAATAATGACCACTTTTGGTTGAAAAGGTTCTGGTTTGGTTTTAATCACATAAAAGGTCTGTAAAATCTCCCATATATTTACATGAACACAGAAAAATTGTTGTTGTTGTTGTTGCTGTTGTTGTTTTACTGTATAATATAATACAATAATGATTCAAATAACAAAATAAATGTTTATGTAATTAAATGTATTAAAATGATTTAGAAAATGCATACTATAATTATTAATAAAGAGTGTATTGTATACTAATAATAATAATAATAATTGAAGATTGTGTTTTACTGTATACTACTACTACTAATAATAATAATAATAACTATTTATAATAATAATTAAAGATTGTGTTTTACTGTGTACTATTCCTACTAATAATAATGATGAAAATAATAATAATAATAACAATAAATGTAACTGTAAATGTAATTAAAATGGTATATAAAATGAATCAAATTTATACAAATGTATAATTATTAAATAGCACGTGTTTTACGGTATAATAATAATAATTAAAGAGTGTCACTGTATACTAATAATAATAACATTAATATTAATAATTAAAGATTGTGTGTTTTACTGTATACTACAACTAATAATAATAATAATAATAAATGTAACTGTAATTAAAATATATTATATATATGAAGTTATTAATCAAATCATTTATATAAATGTATTATTAGTATTAAAGTGTGTTTTTCTAAATAATAATATTGATATTATAATTTCTTCTATTATTAAAGAGTGTTTTACTGCATTATAATAATAATAATATATTAATTATTACTGTTATTATTATTATTTAAAAATATATATTTTTTATTACATAAATGTAATATATTTAATTATTGTTATTATAATTATTAGTTTAAGTATTTAAGTACAATTTACTAAATGAGTACTATGCGCTAAATTTAACTAAAATTTAACTAAAGCTAACTAAATTAGCAGTTGTCTTCATTGGGACTGTTGACTGGTCACACAGTGTAGTTTATTTCAGGTTTTTCTATCTATGAATAAATGTAGTGCCCTCAAATGTAGGCAAAACCTGACCCACACACACACACACACACACACACACACACACACACACACACACATACACACACATTCTGAACCTTGTTCACCCACTGAGCTAAAAGCCCTGACACAGTGCCTGCAGTGTACCCACACAGATCAAGTTAATACAATCCCTTAGATTGTATCTTACCGCCATACATAAACTCAAGCAACACCTGCATTTTACACACACTGTTCCATATCTTTCACAAATACACACAGTGTCATATGCCCTGTGACCCCCCTAAAGGAAAGATCCCCTACCTTCGCCCCCTATAGTGCAGTCCAGCCAAGCACGCCTCCTCTCTCAGATTTCCTTTTCACACCTGAAGAGTCTTTCCTCCTCTTTCCTCGTAAAAACAATGCGGGGTATCAACGGGACCCAGGAAGGTTAGCGGAAAGGTTGCCTGTCTTCGCCTTCTCTCTGCTGTAGTATATGTGACTATCCCAGCATCAGATAGGAATCCTCTCCTGCAGCAGTATCAGCAACAGCAGCAGCCGACCGGCTCACCAGCTCAATGAGGGTGACTACAGGACTACTGCAGGAACAGCAGCATCAGACTCACACACACACACGCCCCACACACTCTCTGCACACACACACATACACAAGGCCACATTACTCCTGCCTTCAATCCGCTCTACCTTATTCTGTCGAATAGCAGCACCACTCTTTATTTGTATTTATTTTTTTCCAGTGGCTTCTCCATCCAGTCTCATCCACTTCGCCCCTACCTCGGCTCATCCCAGTAGTATTCATGATGAATGGTTTTTACTCCTCCTGGGACTTCCAGAAATACCATTTGTCTGGTCCAGAGAGTGCTTCTTAGAGCTGGATAAGGGAATTTCTGGTGGGAAATAGGGATGAAACATGACTCAGGTGCTTTGACATGCTCTGCTGTAATTTATTCACTCACTATAAGATGTTGACTGTTTACATGAACATAAACATTCTGATATTAATCACAATTTAGTCATTTTTATGTAAGTGCCGTGTAAATTCTTTAAGCAGATTAAGCCATTCTGGTTTCTAGAAATCTGAATAAAACCTTTTGTGTATTACTGTATTAATCAGATTTTTCATAGTCATGTAAACACATGAATATTCACTGCAACTGCTTATTTAAATCTGTCATGTCTATAATTCTTAATAAAAAGTCAGTCGGCTGTGTGAGGAGTGAGGAAGTTTCCATAGAAGTCATGAGCGAGGATACACAGGTGCCCTCGGCTCTTAAGGGGGTTGGAGCTGAGATGCGAGGAAAGGAAAGGAAGTGAGAAAAGGAAACAAGGATGCACAAATTAGAAATGAGAAGCACCCCCAACAGGCGCCCTTTCCAGGAACAAGTTCCGGGGGAGAAGAGCAAAAGGCGAGTGTGGCTAGCTCTCCTTCTGAGGAACCGGGGTGAACCGAATCAAGTCACACACTGATCTAGGTGCTAAAAAAAAGAAGAGTGATTGAGCAGAGACACAATCTAAGTCTGCCCCTCTTTTCATTCTTTTCCTCCTTCCTTTTTACAAGTCTCCCCTCCCTTTTCCTCTGGAGGGGGTGTTGGGGTACAAGAGGCTGTTTTTTAGAGGGTATTTAAAGTAGGGTTTGGGAGCCTGGCTCTTAGTAGGACTGGTGCGGTCTAAACTGAGGTTGGGCACACTCTTTACCCTAAGAGTGAGCTAAAATGCTTACTGTAGCCAGAGAAGCAGACTGTTTTGTTCCTATTGTTGTTAGTTGGGGGGTCATCGACTTGTCTAACTGCTTTTAATACGTTGCAAGGCCCAAACACTAATGGCTCGGGTAGGGGTGGGCGCTATACCGGTATGAACGTGAATACCGGTATTATGTTGTGCCATGATATGGATTTTGCGATACCGAGGATACCGTATTCATAAATTCAAATTTTGCAGTTATATTGTTTTGTTCAATTTGGTAAGTTAGGCTACTCTGTTAACACAACTGTTAACAGTTAACACTAATGCCGATACAGAATCGAATACGCTGTTTAAGGAAATGGCTGATTTGGCGCTTCATACGCGTGAAGTTGCTGAGGCGATTAACCGCTGTCCTGTGACGCGTTCAATCAAGGACCGTAACGTAGAATGGGAAATAACAAGATAATGAGACGCAAGTTTGACTTTTAACTTGAGCGCAGCATTTTTAGAATGCCGTTTCATTTGCGAGACGCGCGGGTGCAACACTAAAACAAGTTCGTCAAGCACAAAAAAATGTTAAAGTTCTAGGCTACTGTATGTTTGAGATGTCATGTTTTCATGAAGGCTGAAAGCGAAGCTGGTATTATTATCTTTGTTTTTACAAAACATTTACTGCTAATAATATTATCCACATGGAGACATTTCCCCGCAATGTAACGTTAGGCTATGAATAACAGGACACGACACACACATAAGCGCGCGCATACACACACACTGGTCCACTATCTTTGTGGGGACTCCCCATTGACGTAATGGGTTTTATACTAAACTGTAGGCCTTTATTCTGTCTCCTTACACTAATGAATTAGTTTGTATGAAAATTTTCATTGTTTTTTTCTTGTATACTTTTAAGTTCTATTTATTTGGTGCTTTGTTCAATCTCAAACCATTATTTTATTTTTATTATTAACAAGAGTTAACTGTAATCTGTGCAAACATTAAACTTAAATTAAACGTCTCGCTTTGGTCTACACTGGAAGTGTTCGCTCTGCTAAAGCTAAACTATAATTATTAAAACTGAAACTAAATAAAATAAAAACTATATAGAAATGTGTTTGCAAAATAAAAATTGACAAAACCATTAATGAAACTAGCTAAAACTAAACAGAAATTTAAAGCAAAATTGAAAACGATTTTAAAATAAAAAATAATTTAAAAAAGCAAAACTAGAACAACAGATATTCCCGGAGACAGAGCACACCCGAAGACGGCTCTCACTCAGAAATCAATGAAGTCTTCATTCGCTGCCGGTTCTCATTATGACAAAACGAGCAAAAAGTGGAAAGACATAACAAGTGCATTCAGGCCTACCTCATATTGCACGTTTGCACTTTTTGAGAAATAAAATGGCACAATGAAAAAAAAAAAAACATTTCTGGTCTATGTCCAATGAAATGCCTCCTCTTTTTTTAAGTTATCTAATGTTAAAATACATATTTTGCCTGTAATTTAACTAAGGTGTACTAAAATGTGATTCCAATTTTTTTTCTCATATCGCGATATAATATCGATATCGTCCAGACAGTGAAAAATATCGTGATATGAATTTTTGCTCATATCGCCCACCCCTAGGCTCGGGGCTGAGGCCTCTGAGCTTTAGTCCTTAGATTGTTAGTTCCAGCACAACAAGCAGGCATTGGTCACCATGGCGTAGTTGGTATCCACAAGTTTCCTACGTCCCATGAGGCCTTGCGTCAAAAGTGGGCGCGTCTTCCGGTTCGAAGTAAACAAGCGAGATGTGACACTCATTCATTCATTCGACTATCGATTAATCATTAATATTTATATTAAAATGTATTATTTAACTTTTTATCAATTAAAAATGCAATGAAAATGTTTTTCCACGATGAGTTCTTTATTACAAGAAGATCAACTTGTGGCAGTTAAACTGGACGTTCGGTTATGGCTAAACTTGAAGATATGCGCTGCTCTGGAACCTGCAGCTACGAGCCGGCGTTTCTTAAACAGTTCCTAAATAATAATAAGAAAGAATCATGTTAAATAGGGCTGATACGCTGATATAAAACCGAAATCGCGATACTCAGATCCACGAATCTGTGTCGCGTTGCAGAGAAGGCAGAATCACGACACACCCCTTCCAACTCCCAGAGATATCCTTCCCGTCCAGATCCAATATAGCTACCATATCTTTACTATTGGTATTATTTGAAGTTAACATTATAAAATTAAAACTAGTTGAGGGTAAATTATTTAAAATTGGGCAATTCCAGCGTTATGGACGTGACATGCAGTCAAAACCTGAAATATAAATTCTCAGAAAATGCATTTAATATAGGCTATTGAAACTTCTGTTTATATATCATACTCCATTAATAATGGAGTCCAGACATTAGAAAAATATAACACATGCATTTTATATTTAATATGAGGGAAATAGCCTACACATGAGGGACGTGACACAAAAAAATCTTTAACTTTTAGGTAGCAAAATATTTTTAATTCTATGAAATGTGTGAATTACACTGCGCAAACCTAAAGTACCCACCGGATGAAGAAGGGTTGGCTCTCCACAGAACATAAAATATTCATTTTATTTTATTTTTCATGTTCGCATTTATGAGGAAAAAACAATGTTACGGACGTGACAGTTCTCTGAAAGCGGCACTAAAAGACTGCTTTAAAACGTTCACAGAGACCTCAAACAGAAAGCAAGCCTTTATTTAAAGTTAATTTCGTTTTGTATTAATTGTATCTTAATTTTAATCAATGTTTCAGCAACAAATTACCTGGATTTAATAAATAATAAGTAAATATAGCAGACAATAATCAAGACACGGAGGCGCCGGCGCCTGAACTGCAGCTCGTCTCATAAATGAACCGAAACTGAGCATAGTCTACTTGCCTCACAGACCTGAGAAATATATGTATAGCCTATATTATACTATGAAATGTTTACTGTGTGTCATTCATGTTCTGAATATATTGCTTCACCGTAGCCTTCACTTAAAATCTTTAGTCTAAGATTGTTGGATAATAAAATTTGCCACTGAATTAGTTTAGTCCGGTTATAGGCCTATGTACAACCGCGAACAGCACATGTTGTCCCTGAGCTCCGTAACGACATCTCTCATAAAAGTTTGTGACTTAGTTTAAATAGTCAAACATTATCCGAAAAACACCTAGCCTCTTCGCTAAATTGCACACAAAATACCATTGGTATTGAAGGGTTGGTCAAAATCCCTTGCCTCTTCAAATACATCTATAATCATATATCCTTTTGAATGCTTATATACTTCCTTTATAAATATATTCATTATCACATAATAATTTTTATATTCTTTGTGCTTGTGAAATTATATTTTCTTAAATGCATGTGATGTAAGTAACCAGTTTCTTTTAGGTGGATTCCAATCTTACTTTGAGATTGCACGTAGTACACGTAACCCACAAGGCCGTGTGTCTCTTTCTCTTGGATCAGTAGAAAGGTTTATAGAGGGTCCTAAAGGCAGCGTGGACACATATGATCCTTCGTTGGACATATGGTCAAGCTATATTGAGCGTTACTATATCGAACTTTAATTGTTGTATTAAAATGTATTCTTTCCAGTATATTTACTTCCTTGGGAGTAAATGCCAGTTATCTGTTTTTTTCTCCCAAACGAGTGAATGTTTTAGCATTATGTTTTGGTATACTTAACTGATAATAAGGAGCTCAGACTCTCTTCAGCCTTGATGGGAGCTGTTATTTGCTAGTGTCTGTTATTTGTGTGTGTGCGTATGACATTCTATGTAGGTTCTGGACGTTCGGACCAGACAACCCGGCGCCCTTCTCTAACCTGCGAGG